CTACCGATAATGACACCCGGAATATCTGTCAGAACCTTTCATTAAGCTCACAAAACCCAACAAGAAAGCTCTGAGCTAGGATCGAACTCATTAATGTGACTGGTTTGCTAATCAGCGTTCTGCAGTAGAATTTATCATTTACAAAGAAGAACTACGTGATTAAAGTTTCTTGCGATGTGTGACCCCGCCACAGTTAGTAAATAAATAAAAGAAATTGAGGAAGTGCAAAGAAATAGCTCGGCGCTTAAGAAGAGTGGCTGACGTCATTGGATGGCTAGGGGTAAGGGAAGGGCACTTGTTTAATTGTTATACTTTTCATTGCACCCTCCCCCACTTTTTAAACAAAAAATATCAAAATAAAAATAAAATAAAAACGTAAAATGAAAAAGAAAGAAAAGTAGAATAAATTGTTTATTTTTTCTTTTTAGGCGAGTCATTAGAAAAATAATTCGAGAAAAGACAGACTGTAGAGATGTTTATTATTCAATCTTCATTGCTTTCGTTCGTTATCGTCCGCCCTCCATTATTTCGTCAGAGAGATGGAAAAAGGAGGAGGTTGTACTTAGACAGAGTTGCTTCCCCTTTACTTTTCCCGCCTTTATGAATCGCGCAATAATCATATTTCGCCAAGTACCAGCAAATCATCGGCAGTTGAGCTGCCGTTGTTAGAAACTTAAAACATTTATATCGCTTCTTGCAGAAGATGAAATGATCTCTCCATGAGATCCATTCGCACCCCCAACAAATTACTTTACATTTTACTTGTCCCACCCATTTCTTTCTTTCTTGTTCTTTCGTTTATTCGCAAATATTGTTAAGTATTTTCCCTTTACAATTGCCAGACCCCATATATATATATATATATATATATATATATATATATAAGACATTTTGCTAACTAGGGAATCAGATTAATTTATTTATTTTTATCTGATGCAAGTTGAGATGGTTGTAAGAAAATGTGTATTTTAATAATTGTCTTTAGTTCATGTAAAACATACTTTTAATGACCGACGGAGTTCGATGTGATATTTTTTCCCCGCTAGAAATAGTTGGAGCCTCGGCGCAGAAAAGAAAACAAAAAAATCCGACATATGATAAATTTATATGCTTGAATACGTTGAACAGATGTGTACTCACACCAAAGCAAACGCATCTTGTAAAAGAAGGATTATATAAATAGATAGATAATTACACGTACCCACTAGATTCATAATTTTAAAGGTACATTTCTGAGCATAACCTACCAAACCGTCGACACACACACAGAGATGGAACACGAGAAAAAACAGTTGGATTTTCAATATAAAAAAATGTTAACGTTTCACTCTTTCTTTACGGGTATTCTTAAAACAACTGAAAAATTCTAAGTTAATGATTTTATTCCTTAGATCTTTCAGTTGTTTTGAAAATGCTCGTAAAGAGTGAAATGTTAACAAGGAAATAAAAATTTAGGCATCCAATTGATTTTCCCGTATTCCATTTTACATACTTTGTTCTTTATATATATATATATATATATATATATATATATATATATATGCAATAATTCTGGATTATAGTCCAATAGAGGTCATTGTTCAGCGATTATATTCTTCAATTCATTTGTATGTTTACACGGATACCTGATTGTTGTCACTGAGTATCAAGTGACAACAAGTCTCTTGACACTCCCATTCCCTGTAATGTTGTAGCATGGAATCAATCAATCAGTTCTTTTTTTTTGTTTTTGTTTTTTCTTCAAGTTTCTAATTCATTTTAGTGTTAGGTATTTTAGGTATGACCCTGGCCTTCATGCCAAAATTACTTCGTTACCCTGGGCAAGGTCCTGCTAAATCTCTTTTTCGTCTTTACCCTGTGATCCACGGGTATAACAACATTCACAATCTGGCAGCTTTTTTTTTTATTATTCTGATTCGATACTCTTGCTCGGTCAGGTTGTTGTAGTTGTTGCTGAGCAGCAATGAACGTGGTAGTAGGCGATGAGCAACTCAAGTTTTATTTAGAACAATTACACGCGAAATTTTAAAAACAATTTCATGGATCTGTTTGATCAAACGACTTAAGCATAAAGATGCACATATATGAAAAGAAACAGACATCTGCGCAGCATAGAGTCGTTGTTAAATGTTCCAATAGAAATATGAATGCATCTAATATGACTGTCATATTAATCGACTGATGTGAAAGCACGGGGGATATAGGACGATATGACAACAAAATTTGACAAACTCATATTATTATTTAGTCATTTTATTTCTTTGGACGTAATCTGCAACTCAAATCAAAATTACTGCGAGTCAAATCCAACAAATACGATTCAATTTCCAACAATTATTTTATGGTAATCAATGGTGATGGCACTTCATTCTTTGTCTGCCATTTTTCTCATAATTAATTCTTCATTGTTTTTATTTATTTATATATATATATATATATATATATATATATATATATATATATATATATATATATATATATATATATATATATATATATATAAAAAGAGAGAAAGAGTCACGTGACCGAGTGGTTAGAACGTTCGAATTCTGACCATAAGACCCGGGTTCGAATCCCATCATGTCCGTTTTGTCAGGAAAGAAGCTTCCTGGTGTATAATTGGGTCGATCCCATTGTCAAAAACCATACCCAAGCCTTGTGAGTGAAATTGGGTAGACGGAACCGATAGCAGTGCTAGCACGAAGTCACAAGTCATCGTAGCCGAGGGCTGGAGCGTGCTGCCCTTGTTCAAATTGTTGATCACGTTAGATAACACGCTCTTCTCCAGAAAATGTAACTAAGGTCTGCTCAGCATAGTTGCATGATAAATAAACCACAGGTAGGCTCTGTGGGTGTTGAATAAACACAAATGCGCCAGAGCAAGCGTCTGCAATAGGGATTGGCTAGCAGACGGGTATCCTCGAATACGTGTGGCCAACCATATGTACATATATAGATAGATAGATGCATGCATGCATAAATATATATTTGTTGATCACTGGAATGTGTGTTCTGGAAACAATATAGACACTGCAGACTTCACAATGTATGTTCTTCGCTGTTAAAAAAAAAAAAAAAAAAGTAGAAAGGACTAAACAAACTACAAGAGGACAGAGGTTACCAGCAAAAAGATGAGCCCGGGAATACTAAAATCAAGCATGTACAGTAATTTGAATATCTGGGAAGAGGACGGAAAGTGCGACACTGAGATCCGAAGATATATTGGGATGGCCAAAGATGCATTCCAAAAGCTAAGCAGAGTATTAAGAGACAGAAAAAAATTGTTGGAAACAAAGAAAATATTACTGAACTGTTATATCTGTCCTCCTGTTTGTCAGCGAATGCTGGACAATCTCCTCAAAGATGTAGAAGTGTGACCCGAGGCAACAGAAATATGTTTCTATAGAAAAATGCCGAGGATACCATGGACCGAATATGTAACAACGAGGTTTTGGAGAGAATAAACACAAAAAGGAATCTTATACTTAATATCAGGAAGAGACAGTTGAAATTTCTGGGGCATATAATGAGGAAGGATGGCTTGGAAAACCCGATACTCACAAGACAGAGAGACAGTGCAAAGCAGTGCGTACCATACTTGATGGTTCAGGAAATGGATGGCAGATCAGGGTTTGGGAAATATAAGAAAAAGATAAGACTTATTAAGAGCTACAATGGACAAGAAGATGTGGAGAGCCATGATCGGCTACGCCCTGAAGCTACTGTTATCAAATAATATCAAAGGTCAATAATAGATGAGATTTTATCCCATCTATGATGCTGACATTTATATTAGGCTTTTTATTTTTGAATATTTTAAATATGTTAGATTTTGGATTGTGAATAGAAATAAACAAACAAAATGGTTATTTTGCCAATTTCCTTATTGCAATATCCTTATTCTTAATTTCACTCGAAGATGTTTTCTGTTGCCATAGCAGGATGTTACAACACAACTATGAAATTCAAACATTATTGTTCAGGGATCAGAATCACCTTCAGAGTTAGGATAAATTTTTTCTACAGAAAATGAAGTCACATACAGAATGATAAAGGTTAATCTCTACTCAGGGTTGATTCCACGTATCAAAGGGAACGCCGAGGTTGAATGAAGTGCATCATTTCCTCAGTAAAAATTGTTAGGTTGTTTGTAACATCAACTACAAAAGGAGGTAAAACAACATATTTGATCACATATGGTTCTTTTTCCACGTTTCACAATGACGTTACAAAAGCGAGAAGAGTATAAGACATCTTTCTTCGATTACAGACAACTAAGAAAATAATAATTGAGGAACTGCACAACTATTAGAAGCTGGAAAAACGACAATATCCCACGTTTTAAAGCAAATCAGAAAATGAAAGAGCTCAATAAACGCGTTCCATATTCATTCAAACTTTCCATTATTTATTGTCGATTCATTTTCTATGGCTTATCAACCCTTTGCAGGTTATTTACACTATTTACATTGTTCGGTCTATTGTCCTCATCTTTATTGTCACATTCACGATGTTTCGGCCGTTGAACGCTCCAGCCTTCTTCAGATGATATACGTTGGAATTTCGACCGAACCCTTTATTTCGTCCACCGGAGTAGATTGTTCTAGTTCCACGTACCATGTCTTATCTGGATATTTCAGTATATCACCTGAAGAAGGTCGGGGCCTACAACGGCCGAAATGTCGTGAATATGACAATAAAGATGAGGACAACAGTCTGAACAATGTAAATAGTGTAAATAATTACAATACATCATCATCTCTGAAATATAGACAGAACTTTTCAGGTTTTTTAAAACCAAAAAATATTTTTAGATTGTAAGAATGCGTTTTTTTTTTTAGATAATAATAATTTAGCGATTCAAGTCTTATCAATTAATCCATAGCATAAGGCAGAAGAAATGGTATTTAAGCGTAAGTGAATATAATGAACACACTTTGAGTCGGCTCTCCGATTAACAATTCCGAGCCATTATCCAGTATATCATCCGCTTACCCAAGCTTACAACCCCTGGTATTCGCAAGCGGTCACCCATCTAAGTAGTGACCAGGTTCGATGATGCTTAACTTCGTTGATCGTACGGGAACTGGGATTTCAACATGATACAGACGTAAGCCTACTTTCCATTATTTAACGAACGTCTTAAAGTTTTTCTTTTAGAAACTAGATTTTCCTTGGTTTGGTTTGTTTTACGCCATATCAACCTCAATGGGTTATTTAATGCCGACAAAATTTTTATTGCTGGTAACATTTATTTTTTCAAACATGTATTGCTAGCAATATTTTTCCTTCTAAAAAAAATCTATTTCTGATAATATTTTTTTCAAAAAGTATTGTTGGTAAAAAATTTTTGCCTAAAATGTATTGCTGATAATGTATTGATGGTAATAATTTTTTTCTTTTACAAAGTATTTCTGGTATTAAGACCTATTCTTACACGTTCATAGTGTTTTGACGCCAATTTGGGGGTTACCTATTTGCCCATAGTTGGGACCCTAACAGGTGCTACCACCCCGGGTCAGGGTGGACCTGGGAACACCAGCAATTAAGAGGTGGTTCCACACTCCTCAAAATCTCCTGATCAGAGGCCTTGCTGTTGGATGTAGTTTATCGTCTTACCTAGAACGCAGATGTAGTTTATCGTCATACCCAGGACGCGGATGTAGTTTATCGTCATACCCAGGACGGAGATTTTCCTTGGAATACAACTGTTATTGTTGTGTTAAATTATTTCTCTCTTGGCAAAGGAATCAATAGCGTCGACTGAGAATAAAAAATGGAAAAGAATAAATGGATTATTCGATAATTCTGATGACCAAACTTAAAAAAAAAAAAAATCCCCCCAAACAAGGCAATAAAGACATTAAGACGCAGTGGGGTGACTGAGTGTGAAAGAATATATGAAAAAAGAGTGAGAACAATAAAAGAACGGGTATTAAGATAACGATTAACATTGCATTTAAATTTTGGAAGATCAAACTTGACTGGAAAGTAAGAAGTCGGAAGAGAGTTCCACAAGAGAGAAGTGCGAGAGAAGATACTGTTAGAATAAAACTTATAGTTACATCTAGCTATTTCAACTGCAAAATGATGAGACCTAATTGCCAATCTTGTACTGCGCTTTAATTCATACAGTCAAGGTAACATAGAAGAAAGATCATCAAAAGAATTACTGTCAAAATAATTATAGAAAAGGCACAGGGAAGCTACGTTACTGCAGTGGGAAAATGAATGAAGTCAAGATGCCAGGTCAGGACTGATAACATTGCAGATTCTTTGGATTCTATCAAGATTCCCTGAATACATAGCAGAAGCACCAAACCAAATATGACAGCAATATTCGATGTATGGACGAATGGTAGACATATAAATGTGTAAGATAGATTCTGGAGGGAAAACAATGTCTAACACGAAACAGTGAAGCAACTTTCTGGGTAGTAGAGCTAGCAATGGATTCAATATAATCTTTCCACTTCATGTCATCGGAAGACCTTAGCGCGGGATGACGCAATGATTAACTCTCCTGGAGGTTAGCATCAGCCATACTGATGAAAAACAAATAAGTTTCTCTAACATGATTAAAAGAGAACAGTTTCGTTTTAGAGGTGTTAAAATTAACAAACCATTTCTTACGCGAATTAACAACAGATTGTAGGTCATTTTTGAGATCAGCTGCCAATTTGACCTTATCGAATCGATTAGATTTACTATTAAGACAGGAGTAAATAGTTGTATCATCAGCATATAGAGAACTGTTGAAACCAGGAAGAACATTAATGAAAATTAGGTCCAAGGAGAGAGCCCTGTGGGACACACGCTTTAAAGATCTAGAAGGTTGGCTGTTCAAGACAAAGAGTTATCAAAGAAATCTTTTCCGAATGTAAAACATTTGCCATAGACCAAAAGAAAAATGTCAAAATTGCTCGTTCGGGTAAAGGTAGAATTCGGTGAGGAATCGAACATTGTTCTTCAGGCTCACCGTCTATAGATTCATCGGTAAGTGAACCGAGATGATTTGAAGATTTTTGATTGTTGAAAAGACTCTCTACTCCTGTCTTCTCCACTATCAACTTGCTGTAGATTGCAGTTCCATGACACTCTGCGGACAAACTCCTTTCGTGTGAAATCATTTGTTTAAACTAAATTAGAACACGTCTAAAATTCTAAGACGAACTGTTGTTATTATTCTATGAAGTCTTCAGATGACTATCTCTGTCTTTGTTGTTTCGCCACAACGTTTCGGTGTTCATGCTATTCCTCAGGAATATATTCCAAATCAAAAAAACCTGATGTGTCGGAATTTAATCACTTTCACTGGAATCCTTAAGAACATCCGAGATGGGATTCAAGTTTGGATTAGAATCCGACTGGAATTGTATGTTAATCTAAAAAAAATATTTTTGCTTTGACATGTTTCTTTTATTATTCGGTATAAAAAGAAAAAAAATATTATTTCATAAAAACCAATTCTACATTGGTCAGTCGAAACATGATTCCTTTAAGAGATGAAGGGCACTGTTGATAGCAGACACAGAAAGAAAACTACGAAAACTCCAAGAGAAGGAATGCGTGAAGAAAGGGCTAACATAAACTCCAAGAGAAGGAATGCATGAAGAAAACTCAAGAGAAGGAATGCGTGAAGAAAGGGCTAAGCATAAACTCAAGAAGAAGAAAGGGCTAAGCATAAACTCCAAGAGAAGGAATGCGTGAAGAAAGGGCTAAGCATAAACTCCAAGAGAAGGAATGCGTGAAGAAAGGGCTAAGCATAAACTCCAAGAGAAGGAATGCGTGAAGAAAGGGCTAAGCATAAACTCCAAGAGAAGGAATGCGTGAAGAAAGGGCTAAGCATAAACTCCAAGAGAAGGAATGCGTGAAGAAAGGGCTAAGCATAAACTCCAAGAGAAGGAATGCGTGAAGAAAGGGCTAAGCATAAACTCCAAGAGAAGGAATGCGTGAAAGAAAGGGCTAAACATAAACTCCAAGAGAAGGAAGAAAGGGCTAAGCATAAACTCCAAGAGAAGGAATGCGTGAAGAAAGGGCTAAGCATAAACTCCAAGAGAAGAGAATGTATGGTTATCAGCAAAAAGATGAGCCCAAAATGCAAATTACAGGTTGGGGATACTAAAATCAAGCGGGTACAGTCATTTGAATATCTGTGAAGTCTTCTAACAGAGAACGGAAAGTGCGACACTGAGATCCAAAGTCGTACTGGGATGGACAAAGATGTATTCCAAAAGCTAAGCAGGGTATTAAGAGACAGGAAAAAATTCGTTGGAAACAAAGAAAAGAGTATTGAACTTTTACGTGATATCTGTCCTCCTGTATGGCAGCAAATGCTAGACAATTTCCTCAACGCTGAGGAAGAGACTTGAAGTAATAGAAATGTGGTCCTACAGAAAGATGCTGAGGATACAATGGGCCGAACATGTAAGCAACGACGAGGTTTTGGAGAGAATGAACACAAAACGGAAACTTGTACTTAATATCAGAAAGAGGCAGCTGAAATTTCTGGGGCATATAATGAGGAAGGATGGCTTGGAAAACCTGATACTCATGGGACAGATAGAAGAACAGGGGAAAGCGGCGCGTAGCATACTTGATGATATTGAGAAAATGGATGGCAGATCAGGGATTGGGAGATTCAAGACAAGACTTAAGAGCTACAAGGGACAGGAAGATGTGGAGAGCCATGATCGGCTATGTCCTGAAGTCACATAAAAAAGATAATATTTGGATATATCTAATTTTAATTCTGTTTTATTTTCATCGTTTACGTATTCCATTTTGTCTCAGAACTAATTTGGTAAAAAAAAAAAAGATGATAAGCGGAGAAAAAACGTAGTTGAATATTAATTAGAGGAGACTCATAGATCATGGCACTTTCAATAAATCTTCTGATTAAATTACATCCATTTTTTTAAAATTAAAATAATGTAGATCAAAATCAAAAGGTGTTCATCGCATACGAAGGGTTTGATTTCGCATAAAATAATATTTAATAATAATAATAATAAATTGAATAGTGTTTATTGACGAAGATTCATTGAAACAATGTAAGTTGAAATTAGTTAAAATCTAACTCCGATAATAATAATAATAATAATACAGTTCAAATAAAAATCAAGCCTTCAGTTGCTTAACGTTAATCAGATTTCGATTCTCTAATGTAAATTTTGTTTCATGTGAAATAAAATTATTTTTCTGATGATGCCGAATAATCAGCGAAACATGCCAAACTAAAAAAAAGTTCTGACTTGTCATTCATATATGACGAAATGGAAAAATTCAAACTTGACACGTTTCGACTTCTAAAAGGACTTCTTCAGATGTAGGGATGAGAATGTAATTATACATCAAGAAAACACTGAAAATTCAGGAACACTTTAACAAACCTAGCTGATCCCATTTAGCCTTTGCTGTTGTTTTTTTTAATTCCATATGAGGGCACGTTGAGTTTTTTTGGGTTTTTTTTAAAAGAAAATCAGCATTGCATTCCGGGTGAAAGCTGGGGTTTGATGTGATAAGTATTGGCACCAAAAATTAGATGTATAGCTTTTACCAATGTTTGAGCATTTAGTTTTAAAGATAGTCTGAAAAAATATACATAAATGACTAATTTCTGCAAGTTTTTGTTTACAAACGGACTTCAAAGTTTTACTATTTCAAGAATAAATCCAAATAAAAGTTCATATCTTTTGTATTAGATACATTGAATGGAAAATAGATTCAAACCAGAATTCTAATTACGAATGACAAGCAAAATATGCATTTTTTATGTATTTGGTAAGTAAAAATTCTATATAACACTATAATACTCCTGGGCACAAATTTTAAGACAAAATGATTTAAATTTGCATTGTTTATTGAAAATCGCACTAAACCTACTACATTGTATAACACCATAATGTAACAAAATTGTTCAGTATAATTTCCCTTTGAAGTAAATGAAGGTCTTATTTGATGACACAATGATTTAGTAATAATGTTCATGTGGCTTGCATCTTGTCCGGATAAAATTTGTAAAGCTACAGAAAATTATAAATTTTATAAGGCTTTGTTATAAGGCTTTCTTTCACTGATCACTGGAATGAAATTCCAACACTACGAATAT